GCTCTTTATTTAAAACAGTTTTTTAAGAACTACCAAATTATAATATTAGGATATTTATATGTACATGCAACCCTGAATATTTTGCATTTAACATTTCTATAGATCGCAATATCTATATTCTTCTTATTTTATCAGTTGTTAACTCTGTCAACCCTATTTTATGACTTGCCATAAAAAGATTAGATAAGACTAGAGAAAAAGGGCAGCCCATTGACCATATTTTCCGTGGAGTAATGTGATAATCCTTATATTATCAGTTTTGTTACGATAGTTTACATTCATTATAGCTTTTTGAAGCTGTAGGCTGTAGCTTATGAGGCTACATAGATTTTTTTTTCATATTTAAAAGACTATCTCTAAATTTACATTGCGGTGTAACTTTATGTCTTTTAATGGCATGCTGTCTATCTTAAAAATTCATTTCTAAATTCGTTTTTTATTGACCGTTAAGGTTTAGCAAAAGCCATGCCTAGTGAGCATTAGAAACGTATTTCTGAATAATTAAAAAGACAGTTATTTTAAAAATACGATAAAGATTCCCACGTTCTAAACGAAGAGTCTATGTGAACAATTTAGTGTTTACTGTTTATTTTTTGCTTGTTTCAACATGTTATGGGAAGTGTTGACATATGGCAATAAAATGAAATGATTAATTGGAAAACCATTGGGGAAAATTCACAGGTTAAAGGGTTAAGAATTTATTTATATTACATAAAAAAATAAGGACTGGTCTAAATAAAACGTTTTTTAGACTCAAGAAAGTAAAATAGAGTCTAATTGTCCAAAAACTTTTTGATATTGTACATATGTAATTTTTTTTATCAATTTTTTTTAATAATTTAAATCATTAACTTCGCCCAAGAAGATTTTACAATTGGTCGGCTTTTACAACATGGTCAAAATTTACCAGTTTCTCGCAGTTACTTACGTATACAAGATTTCTCGTTTGTTTCTCGATTTCTCGAAACAGTAAAATTTGTTTGATATTTGCTCCCTTTTTGCCTTCCCTGATAAGTTTTTACTTTACAATGAAAACATGACGAGAACATTTAACTTAAAACAATAAAATTGCAAATGCATACAATTAAAACGACACTATAATATGTACAGTAGAGTAGGTGGTAAAATGCCTAATTATCATGCTTTGAGTTAGGACTTGCGTCAAATGAGTCCATGTGGAGGTAGTACCTTCAGTACTCCCTCCACATGGGGAAAAAGTGACAACTTGCTGGGAATAAACACATAAAATGAACTGAAAACTCCCAAAGTCAGTTTGTGTTCTTTTTGAGTGTCGGCAGTCAATATTATTCTATCCATAAATGTCTTTACGCTAGTTACCAGAGTTCTTAATCCCAAAAAGAGTTAGTTTTCTGATGTATATTTATGTTCTGATGCTGCAAATCGCAATGAGTAATTCTTTATTTTAAAACAAACTTTAAATTTTGCACTTGCTACGTCAGTACTAATTAGTCTGATCGAAACCATCAGCCAAATTGCTTGGTTCTTAAATATATTCTAAGCCTGTTACTTCAGAGCAAAATTCAAGTAGTTTTTGATGAAACTTCAATAGTGGTGGATTGGGAAGACGAGACTCGAGAATTTGTGACTGTTTTGTATCAAAAAGGTACCAGAGAAATATTTTATTAATAAGTTAGTTAGGGTATCTTTAATGAATAGTAAACATAGTCGACGTTTACGTCATTCAATGACTCAACAATAAATATCCTCATTAAAACTTGCAACGCTTAAGCCCTCGCTTGAAGAAAACCCAAGAACAGCAAAAGTATCCTAAAGCATTTTATCTGTTTTTATTTTTGTTAACTATATAAAGATTCATGACTGTTGTTCTTTCTTTTTTAATTTTTTATGCTCTCCTCAATCTATATCATTTACCTTCCTTACATTTTTCTTCCCTTGACCAACTTGGATGCATTTATATCATTAGTATCCCCAGATTAAGTTAAACACTACATCTCTTCCCTTTAATAATTTACTTTGATGATTTTTCTTTATTTAATTTACATGACGACGTCTTTGTATATTGTGTATATTTTATCTCCACTAGTTATTCTATTATTAATCTGCCTTTTATTCCTTTTCTCGTTTGGACGTTTGTCTGTTTGCAGCCATTGTCTGTTTTTTTTACTTTTCTAAATGTTGTCTTTATGCGTTCTTCAATATACTCTCTTTGATTTTGCTTTACGTCTCACTCACAAACACGGTTCCCTTCCATTTTTGCTTTCTCATCAACATTTTAGTTTACATGCCAACACATAGCCGTGGACACACTGTTGTCCCATAACGCCTGAATATACTATAGTTATCTATTTGTAAGGTTTCACGAAGCATATAATCTGGAATTAGAACAATTATATTTTGGTTTAACTTTTCAAAGTTTGTTGTTTGCCATGTTTTGCATATTTTTCAGCATAAGTAAATACAAAAAAATAAATGGATCGAAGAATTTCAGAAAATATGGTGCTCAGAACTAACACAAATGTCCGCTTTACTCCGTTACGCGTTGCTGTGAAATGGGGACAACACGTTCCAAATTATTCAAAATAATATTCTTCTTAAAGGAGAAATAGTCTACAATATTTCAAATGAGTTTAAGGGCATATTTTCATTTTATTCCAGTTTGAAAACTTTAAATTTTTTGCTCGAAACACTGGTAAAGCATCCATAGATTTATAGTTGAAGCTTGCCTGAACAGCGGATTTTAGCGAAACGTCATTTAAAAATGTTTGTAAAACTGCAGAACCTGAATCTTATGTCGTATTCAACATCAAGTATCCCTGAAATTACGTTATCAAAATTGCGTTGGTCGATTGCAAAAGACATCAAATTTATGATATTTCAATGGTGAACTACTCAAAAACTGCGGGTCATTGAAGGTGGAAAGAAGGGAACTAGTACTTTCCATTATTCATTCTACTTATCAGTCGTGTTATATTCTGTATCAACTAAGTTATAGTTTCAGTTTTTTCAATCTTCAAAAAGGTATTTCCTTCGAGATTTCGAAGCTGAATAAACTTGTGGACGCTTTTTGGCGCAAGTGAACAAGCAAAATTAGAATATTTTGGAAGAGCATTATCTTGTGAATTTTTAAAATTGCCATTTTTGCAGAATCAAAATGGCATATTGATTATTGCTTTGTGCAACAGTAAGGTCAGTTTCTGAAGTAGTTACTTGCTATAAATGATGAAAATCAATCAATTAAGCTTATAGTGCTTAATGATGTATGCATCAGATGGAATTAATACGATGGTCAGTTACTCAGAGGAAGCAACACAAGCTTTAGATAAAGTCATTACGCAGGGTTCAAAGGAACCACGTCCTATTCCCAACAGAACAACGTACTGGCAAGGATAACGAGCTAAGTCTTTTGGGGAAAATGATAATGAGTTAAAGAGAGAAAGTGATCGTTTTTTAGATTTGATTGATTATTCTCTTAGATCTTCCGACTACAAGTATCCCAATATTTCAGATACGGACTCATATATGGATGGGTGAACACTGTCCGCATAGTGCTCAAGCACTTTAAATTATATATTAATCTTCTTTATTGCGACTTATTTATGATTTACTGATGAAAAAAGTAAGGATTTAATTGTGAGGTTAGTTTACGTGTGTTAGATTATCACTTTGCTAACTTACACTAAAATCACTCTAGTTAGTTACTTTCATGTTTTATACTTAAAAATATAGTCATATGAGCCACCTTTGTCAGAAGTAACCTAGACAAGTCCCTTATACATGAAAGTACTTCATGTTTTTATAATTTTAACAATTTACCAGACAGTTAAATATCATCTTTTCTTAGCAAAGTGGTAACCAAAACTTTGGATGTGTAGATAAATTTTACTCTTCAAACAATTCTAAGCATTCGTTTACTTGTGAATTATTTTCTACCACATGAATTGTTAGGATTATTTAGGGACTCTGTCAGATGATAAACATCATGTTATCATTATAGAACTAAGTGCTTTAACTGTCCAATCTTTTTTAAGTGGGTGTAGCTCCTCAACATCGTCTGCTGTAAGTTCAACTTTTTTATTTTATTGATAGTACACAAAAATCATTGGCCAAAGTTATTTTATTGAAGAAAATTGCACAATTTTGTATCAGGAGTCTGGTGTGGATAAATTAGTTAAAGTATTTCCTGGCACCCTAACATCCGATTTTGCTGAATTTACTGTAAATCAGTGTACACTGCTGCAAGATTCCCAAGTGTAAAGTGGATACCAACACTACCAACAAGTTTATTGAAATGAACTGAGGCAGTCACTATGGCATAATTTCAATAGCTTTTACAAAAATCTGATAAGAAGTAGTGGCATTGGTATAGGTCTTTGATTTTACAATTAAATTTATTAGCTTCATTCATATTTTCATCATTTCATGCATACAACCTTTGCTCTTTCTTTGTTTGCTATTATAATTAAAACTAACGAACGAATAAGAATAAAGCCCGCATAATTGTTTGGCCACAAAAATTAACCACTTGGCTAAATTGAAAGGTTTTACTGCAATGCAGTTAGGTACAATTTGGTAAAATTAATTTTACAAATTTGGCGTCAGTTTAATGGCAAGCTTCCTTATATTACGTCAGAAGGAAAAAATGTTTTTTCAGTACCTTCGTAAATAGACATGATTCTCCACATTATTTTATCGTAACTCTTTTTAAACATGAAAAATTATGTTTATACAGTCATATTCTAAATAAAATATTTATATAAATTGTTATTAAAGTTAAAAATTAAAAAAGCATATAAATAAAGTGTTATAATACTAAATTTTATAACATCTATACCCTAAGCGGCTATGATGAAAACCTACAACAAATCATTCTCCCCATCCCATCTAAAACAAATTAGTACTAATTTTTTTTATTACCAACATTAAATGTACATAAAACAAACATTATTTTGCAAGAAAAAATTTTCACCCATAATTCTGAAGTTTTTACTTAAAGGGTTAATTAACTACAAAATCTTATAATGATTTCTGTAAATATCGACACAGTCAATGAATTTTTGTTACATTTAAGTATGTGTAATAGCAATTACAAAAAAAATTGGAAACCAGGTCTTACAGCTAATTATTTGCTTTTTCTTTAACTGCACATAAGATCATTTTTGAAACACCAAATGATTTACATTAGTGTTTAAAACATTACAATAATTGCAAAACATCCACAAACGCTTTTTCTGCAAGCTTATCCTTAACTAAAGAAAGATTTATTAAACTCGAAACCAGTTTATTGTAATGCTTATTGGCTTAATTGACAAAAAAGTAAATTGCAACTAAAGATCAGCAGAAATATGGTCTTTAAAAAATGAAAACCTTGTTTTTAAAGCCAAAAGTCGTTCACTTAACCTTACATAACGTAAGACTTAACAAGCATTCATAAAATTTCAAAAATTTAGAGTTATTCTATTCAAAAGCCTCAAACGTCATAAAACATCTTGCAAGCTTCAAGGAACAAAAATCCTTTGAAAAGGTTACTCTAAATGTTTATAACATCAATGGTCAATTTTTAATCGAAACCAATTCTCGTTTCCCCATAGCTTCGATATTAATTTTATGAACAGCTTTAAACTGCTAGGCAGTTGAATGAAACTCGCAATCATGTGACCAACGAAAAATTTCTTTTTTCATGTTTTGCATGCATTTAACGTGCGAAAAAAAAAAACATGTCAAATTTCTTAAATAGTGAATATGTTTTTTTTCCTAGCAAAAGATTGCTCAGAGCTTTACAAGAATTCTAAAAGAAAAAGCGGAATCTACAAGATTGATCCGGACAATCGAGGCAGTTTTAATGTATGGTGTGACATGAACACATCTGGAGGTGGCTGGACCGTGTTTCAACGTCGCCTTGATGGTAGTGTTAATTTCTACAGAGGGTGGCAAGATTACAAAAATGGCTTTGGAAATCTAACATCAGATTTTTGGCTTGGATTAGATAAAATAAATAGACTTACATCTAGAAAGCACAAGAAACTTCGGATTGACATGGAAGACTTTACAGGAATCACAGGATACGCCGAATATGATTTCTTTTCTGTTGCAAGTGAAAGGCAGAAATACAAGTTGGATCTTGGAAAATATTCAGGTAAAAGATGCCGATAGGTATCCAGTAGTCGAATGAAATTAAGGAAAAAAAAGTTTTGTGAATTTTAAACATGACCGTGGCTTCCTAAAGTATATCTTTTCTCCAGACTTTAAACTTTTTTTGTTGTTTTCAGTTTATCATTCAACACTTCAAGTTATTTTGCCTGTAATATTACGAAAAATTTCACTCATTTCTTAGTTGATCAGAAACTTTTGGATTAAAAGAAAAGGATGAAATTTATCTCTATACCACTTCTAACGAAAGCAATATCGTCAAATGTTAATCTTTTTAAAAAACTAAATAGCTTGCAACAGTGTTACATAAACAATTTAGATTTTTAAGATTTTACAAATCAAAATACAATTTGTTAAATTCACTCCCATAATAACTAGCAAGTAATACTATCAGATGATTGTCTATTTGTATCAGACATTGCAAAATGCTTTACAACTTAAAGTTATGCATAAGAAATAAACATTTTAGACTCTACTTTAATGATGACTTGAATTATTCTGTGCTCATTTTTAGGAACTGCCGGTGATTCGTTATATGTACATAAAGGAATGGCATTTTCGACAAAAGACTCTGATAACGATAAATCTCCCGAAAATTGTGCAAGCATGTTTAAGGGTGCATGGTGGTTTGAATATTGTTACCTTTCTAATTTAAACGGGATCTATCATCATGTTCAACCCCACTTTCTAATGGTATCAAATGGAATATTTGGAAAGGCTACTACGAAGACTTAAAATTCACAGCCATGAAAATACGACCTTGTTAATTTTTTCCTTAAGTAGTGCAACTGGCTTCTTATTTTTTTCTGCTTTTAATAATTTAATGCATGTATACAAAATAGAACTAGAATTCACGCATGAATAAATGCTCAGAACTTAATGATGTGCAAAATATATTCCGCTTGAAAGATTTCATTTTAAATATTAATTTTATCGTCAAATTTATAATTAATAGAGTGGCATACCTTACAATCTTTGAGTGCAAGCTATTATAAATATTGTTAGTTGTTGTATGTAGTTGTTATAATTTGTAATACTTTCTGTTCAACAAAATACAAATAGTTTGTTGTCACAGTTCTTCATTTTCTTCTACTAAATTTTGCACTTGACATTTTCTGTTGTGGGGAAACAAGCATGAAAAATGCCTCACTGCGTGATGTGGATGGTAAAGAGCTTGTTTTAGTATGTTTCATGCAAGTAGTTCAATTTTTTTATTAAACATCACAATTTACCTGTAGTAAAAATTGCATGAAGAACATAAAAAACCTCTTCCACGAATGTAAATCTGAAAGAAGCAAAGTAATATTAGTGGAGAATTATTGACTGACATTTTTATCCGATTTTTAGTTAAAGTCTTATCTGCAAGAGCGTTATTATATTCATTGATAATGTTCTTCTTATAAAATCACCAAACACTTACTGAATTACACTAACTTATGAGCAATTTTTATTATCTTCATAACTGTTGCTGTCTTGACTATTGTTATCTTGGTTATTCTTTATATCTTAGACATTCTCTGGACCGTTTTTGAACTGTCTTGACAAGTCTTTAACATATTTGTGTACTTTATACAGTGTACCATACAAGGATTATTTGTTAAATATTTTGTCATTGTTTACATTTTTATTAAGATGGCTCTAAATCTACATAGTACTATGTCTTTGAAAAATGTGATGTAATAAGCTTTCCTGTTGTTTTATACTAGAACGGAAGGAGAAATTATTTACAGATATATAAAATAGACAGTTATTTTAAATAATGACAACTTATCACATTAAATGGAAATGTGTTTATATTTTGGTCTTTACTTATCTTTAAGAAAAGATTTGAAATGTTGACATTTATATGCGAGTTATATATAAGTCTGCGAGCTTTGAATTGTTATTGGTAAATTTAATAGTTTACGTATTTTGGTGCAATATTGCGCTTACTGATGAATGAATTTACAAAGGAAGATGGAAGTACCAAAATATGGAATCCTGTCATTGAATATAATTGATGACTTGATCTTTGTACACAACCCTCTCTTTGCTCTACTTTGACTGTCTAGACAGGCTATACAGGTCATATGCCCAGGAGTACAAGGAAAGTTTGTGAAAGAAACATGGCAAATGGTTTGGTATGATTTTTTGTTATAGTTTAATACGCGCCTTGTAGATGTTGTTACTCTGAATTTATTTTTATATTATTGTTCCTTGAAGTCAACATTACAATAATTATATATTCACACATCAGAGGAAATTACATTTTGTAACCATATAAAGAAAATCTTAACATACTATTTAAAATTCCCATTTTCACTTTATTGTCGTTTGATTTGAGACAGGTCAAAGTTTCAATAATTTCACGAGTTGTTTCTAGTTAGAGCAATAAGTACATGTTTGGCAGAGTGAAAAAAAATTGCTTTCTCATACATTCATCCCACCTCAAAATTGAGCTTAGAACCTTTAATTTGACAGAATTCAATGTAAAACCACCAAATTGTTTTGCCAAAACTGAAGGCGGCTCTATTTTAGGCTCAACACAAGTAGACTAATCGAAACAAGTAATTTTGAAAACCAAGTTCACCGCCTCTGCACAAAGAGGGTTTACGCATGGTGAGAAAATCTTTACGAGTGACTCTATATATCTTCTTAATGAAATGTTTCTCATTTTATAACAATCAGAAATAACCTGCTGCTTTGCTCCAATAATAATTGCAATACAAAATAGCATAATGCAATGTCCGAAATTTTGTGCTTTTAATGCGATTTCATGCTGTTATTTGAAAGTAAAGCAATTTAGCAAAGTTTTTTTCCTCGCAAGACAGCCTTTAATAATAAACAAAATCAAACGCTGCATTCTACAATGGAATAATTTAAATACTCTTTTTTGTATACATACTGTATTAAAATTGAACAGTTAGACAAACATCATTAAATTCCTCACAGCGCAAAATATACAAAACTAAGTAAAAGTGTTCCTGTTTTTGCAATTTTTTGTTCTTCTACTTTTTTGCAGTATAACATAGTGGTTGGTAGTATAACACGAAATCATGTGGCTACCTACAAAAACCGTTGAAATTTTAGCGTATAAGTAATGTGCAAACTGAACATTAAAACGATACTATTTTGCTTCCGGTACAATAAAAAGTTTAAATCTGTAGTAATATTTCTCCATCCAATAACCACACCAGTTAACGGCAAGTTTGTAGAATTACAAAAACTTTGGAAGAGGGTTGTTGCCACAGGAGTGAGAGGAAGATGAAGCATGTTATTTTTGCAGAGGATAACCAAAAGATGGTTTAGTACAAAAAGATAATTTCTCATCTTTCTTGCCCCATCAAATGGTCTTTTCGAAAAGCAGCAAGGATGCCTTTTGTAACAGACATAAAGATGGCAAGACTAATAAATGCAATGTTCAAAGGTGGTCTTCTTCCAACAACAGCAAAGATGTTTATCCAACAATCGTAAAGATTGCAAGATTAACAAAAGCAATATTCAAAGGCAGTCTTCTTCCAACAACAGCAAAGATGTTTATCCAACAATCGTAACGATTGCAAGATTAATAAAAGCAATGTTCAAAGGCAGTCTTCTTCCAACAGCAGAAAAGATGTTTATCCAATAATCGTAAAGTTGGCAAGATTAATAAAAGCAATGTTCAAAGGTGATCTTATTTCTACAGCAGCAAAGATGGTTATCCAACAATGGTAAAGATGGCAAGATTAATAAAAGCAATGTTCAAAGGTGGTCCTGTAAAAACAAAGTAACAAAATGATTTTTGGTGGATGGGATTTCTTGATCTACCAAATAAGAAGGTAACGTCGCAGCACAACGATAGATATTGACATTGTCAATTGCACTCCCATCAACAAAATCTCTTGATTATAATGTACAATTGAACATTTTAGCCAACAAATCCAAAATTTCCTTTCACTTCAGCATCATTAGTAATTGGGTAGTATGACTGAATAGCACACTGGATTACAGTGGACAAAGCAAACATACGCATCAAGGGTGAAAAGGTGTAATTATTTGCTGTTTGCACTGCTTCTTGTAAAACTGCTGCAATTTCATTCGCATTTTCTAAAGAGGTTAGAGCTGCATCGGATATACACATGGCAAAAGCATTTATAAGTGAAGTGAATGCACCATTTTTATGCTGGGACTCGATGAGAGGATGGGTAGAATAGTATTTTGCATTCTCAAACATTTCAACACTAGTTAGGAATCTCAAGTAAATAGAGAGAGTCTCATTCCCAACTAATGCAATAAAACATGAATTGAATAGACAATTCCCATTGGCTAAAGTACTAAAAGAAAAATTAGTATTTAAGTATCAATGGCTGCTTTGTTATTCCAAGTTATACCTGGAAAAAAATCTGCTAGACTGACTCTGACATTAGAATAAATAAGGGTAACCAATACTGTTAAAGATAGACTAATAGTATTGAAATTGAGAAAGTTATTTTCTCTTTGTGTTAATTTGGTAACATCATTTTAGAGTCAAAGTCCAAATCTTAGACTAGAGGCATGTAGTCTAAGATTTGGAACTAGTCTAGGCATTTCGAACAGGATTCAGACGACTTATTTATTCCATCTACTATGACATCAATATTTTACATAAATCGCGAAAGAAAGTAACAGTTATTCAAAATGATATGTTAGTTTCTTTAACCAGGGGATAACATAAAATGCCAGGAATACAAGGATAATACATTATTGATTGGGTTAAATTTTAAAAAGGACTAGCTTTGACTAATATTGAAGTAAAACATTTATTTTTAACAGACAGTAACAACTAAATTTATTTAGGCCGTACATTAGACAGACTGAGTATGCAACATAATGACAGCTTTATACATATATTTTACATGATACACTAAGTATGAATAGCTGAAAATTAACGGATTGATCATATATTTCCGGCCAAGAAGTCAAACGTAAATTAAAATATAAATTAATACCCCAATACATGTAAATTCTTACCTCACAGGGACATTGGGTACTGATCTTCCAATTTGGCTTTCAGGGAACAGCAGTTTTGAAAATGAACAAGTTCGTAGCATAATAATATCGCCAGTAGAATTTATACGACGAAGCCTTTCCTCGTTGATTATTTTACCACGGTGTTGTATCAAGTTATACAATTCACCAGAAATAATTTCGCAAGCGTTCTCTTGCTGAAAGGTTTGGACGAGCTTTTCAAGAACATCGATGTTTTTAGAAGTCTCCATTGATCCTAATTGCTGAGTAGAACTAGAAGTAGCGTTTTTTCAAGTCGACAAGAATTGAACTATTGTATATGACTTGTATTTATTGCGCAATCAAAATTCATTCACCGTGGCTCACCGTGGCGCACATGACCAAAACGTTCCCTGTGATTGCCTTGCAACGCTGCACCGTGGCTGAAATTTACTATGTTTCGCAACTATTGCGAAATTTTTTGAACGCTGACCGTGGCTTTTCATTCTGAGATTGCAGGCTCGAATTTACGAACATATTCCGAGCATATTCATGGCGTATTCGGCAAGATTCGAGACGCTTTCGGTGATTTTACAGTTCAGAGTTTAACTGGTTGATAATACTAATTTAACAAGACGTTTCATTTGAAGTTTTTGTTCTGTTAACATAAATTTTTGACAAAAAATTACAAAATTCATTCAATTTTTGCTTTTGATCGCATTTTGCTGTATTTGAGCAAAATTTTTAATCATGAAAAAGTCAACCCTGGAAAAACTTAAGTGGCAGAATTC